CTCCTAACTCAAACGTCCAAAGAAAGAAGTTTTCCACCGGCCTGTGTCGTTTTCCAGCAGCCACTAGAGACAAAATTTGCGTAGAGCACCGTTACTTTGACTTTCATTAACCAGAATTACATGTTTGTTTTGTCCCTTTTGCTGTCATTTTCCCTTCCACCAAAGATTGAACATATTTTACTCTCTAAAATGGAAATTATTGCAAAATCAAGATGAATGGTCTAAGCAACTCTTTTTGGGCTTGACATATACTACCTAACATACATGGTTGACTGTAATTATACACGAAGATTCAGATTGATGAAACCACCGCAGAGATTGGCAGCATTTCAAATCCTGATTCCTGGAGCTGTGTATGTTGAGGGCCAACCTTTGCCAACCCTGGTGCACTTGGCATGCGAAAAGAGGCCCCATTATCATCACAATTAATTTCAAGGCAGGAGACATGATTGCTCTACTAATTAAGTCGTCTATCTTCTACTGTTTGTTTTGTGAGTAGCCAAGGCCAAGGTTATCATGATATTCATATCGTCTTTGTTGGAAGACATAAGGCTCAACAAGGTGACATGGAACCAAAAGACTAGCTTAATAGTTTCATGGGAGCTCATATATTTAAATCACTCTTTCTTTTTATATTTCTTCGATATGAAATCTTAATTCTTTACACTTACAAGGGAAACACATTTCTCCTTTCACTTGTGAGTTGTGATATATACATGACATGGTCCATTGGTATACTTTTTTTTTTTTACATACATACATGACAAAATCCATGGCAACATCATCCATGGGTATACTAGTCATGGGTTTATATAACATAACTTTCACTTTGCTAAGGCCAGCCCAAGACCGAAATTACCACTAATTGAGTTATCCCATTGGCTCTGATACCATTTGTTGGGAAAACATATGGCTTAGCAGGGTAACATTTGTTGGCTCAATGCACTTCAAGAGGATGCGTGAATTGGAGTTCAAAAATTTCCTCCTTTTTGCAACTACAAACCAAAAATTAAAGAGAGTAAGGAAGAAAGGTTGCACAATGATTTTATAAAGGTTCAGTTCAACCACTTGAAGTTTAATCCTCTGCCTTAACTTCACTCACCAATGATTTCCTTCACACTTTCCACTAAGAAAATCAAGGGTGGTTTAAAAGAGCCGCTCAATCTTTTTACGAGAACAAGGGTATTTCTCCCAAATCTCACCTCTTTACAAGATAAATTCCAATAATCCTCTCTACAAATCACTCTTGAAAGAATAATCACACATCCAAGATAACACACAAGTAGAACACGAAGAGGATTACAAGCAAATATCACTCAAGATTGAAATTTCAAGTTAAAGCACAAGTTGGTAGGTGAAGATTTCAATACAATGCCTCAAAACTTATTTCAAATCTGATACCAACCATATTTATAGTCCCTTAGTTGAAACTACCCATTTCTAGCCGTTGGGGGTCATTAAATGCTTTGCAGGTCGTGTAATTTCAAGTTGCAGATTTGTCATCAAAGCTGACTCTAAATTTGGAGCCAACTTAGTAGAGCTGGCTTAGATTCCTAGAGCTAACTTTGCGCTCTTCCTGCACATTCTGTTTTTCTCAAGAGTCAGCTGCAAAAACGTAAAACTGACTTTGGAAATCTAACTTTAAAAAGATTAAAAAATCTTTAAATAACTTGACCATTATGCATTAAATGCACCTTCATAGCCAGCTACAAAGTTACTGCAGGTTTAAAACTTCCGCCCACAAAGCCAGGTTTAAAACTTCCGCCCACAAAGCCAACTACAGGTTCTAAAGTCGGCTCTCTGTGGTTTTGTTCACCAAAGCCCACTGCAGATTTCTAAAGCCAGTTCTCTACACAATTTACAACTTTTTTATTCCAATTTAGTGGAGTCCAAATTCACTTAATTTTGCAATAGTTTGAAAGTTCAA